AGAGGGTGTTTCCTTGCACGCAGCGCTGACTGGGTTTGATCCTCGGCATCCCATGTGGTCTCCGGAGTCTGCCAGGAGTGATTTCTAAATGCAGAGCCAGGAGTAACCCCTGAGCACCACTGGGTGTGAGCCCAAACACAAAAACAGAAAAAGCAAAGAAACGAAAGGAAGAGGAGACAGCCAGAACTCCTTGGCCATGTCTTACAGGGTCATCTCGGCAAGAAAATAAAATTAAAGTCAGGACAGAGGGGAACAGCCTGTCCTGTGCTCTTTGGGTATCAAAATTTGTTGTGCAATTTTTTTTTTATATCTAGCAAGAAATTTTCCACCAGGGGACCAGGGCTGTGTGTTCCCCCTGGTTAGGACACTGACTTCCAAGGTCCTCCTCGGACAGATATATAGCCAGATAGCCAGGGTTCAGACTTGCTCTTCAAGCCCACGAACTCATTCTGCCTTTCTTCTTCTCCCCTCACATCGAAGTAAGTTCCCCACCCCCCCCCCCCCCGCCCCGGGTAACATCTGGCGATGCTCAGGGCTAAGTCCTAGCTCTGCACTCAGGAATTACCCCTGGCGGTGCTCAGGGGACCGTCTGGGATGCTGGGGATCGAACCCGGGTCAGTGGAGTGCAAGGCAAACGCCCTACCTGCTGTGCTATTGCTCCAGCCCCACAGCGAAGTACGTTTTGATAAAAATACGGCGTTGCTTCACCCAAAACTAAAAGCAGGGGCTGGAGCGATGATAGCACAGCAGGTAGGGTGTTTGCCTGCACGTTCGATTCCCAGCATCCCCCAAGCACCACCAGGAGTAATTCCTGAGGGAGAGAGGATTGTTTCTTTTGGAGGGGGCATGGCCAACTGGAGGGGCAGGCCTGTAGGTCACTGGGCAATCGGCCATGAGATCCTGGCCCTGCCCACTTCGCTTGTTGCCCAAGTTGGTTCTGCCAGGACAGGGAACAGCAAATCCGGGCCATGGAGCAGCTGAGTCCCCGCAGGTGACTGCCCTCTGGGGCCGCTTGGGGGGGAGGGTCTACCCCTGGGCGCACTAGCTGGAGGGTGCAGGGGTTGCGGGAGTGGGGGGGGGCATTGGTGCCCCAGGCAAGACCCTCCAGAGCCTTTCCAACACCCCTCCAGTGTTGGAAAGTTCTGGAGAACTTTCCCCCTCTTAAGTTCTGGAGAAGCCTGTGGTGAGTGTTTTTGACTTCTGGGACCTTGGAGCTCCACTCTCGGCCTCTCACTCCCAGGGGCTTCCATGTCTCCCAGTATCAGCTGGACACTGCAGCGGGCACTGAAGAAGCCCATCGCTTTAATGGGGTCTGACCCCCAGTGACTCTGCCGGTGCGCTGCAGGCGCCTGGACCACCAGGGGGCAGCAGAGGCAACCAGGTCCCTTTCCTCTCCCCTCCCAAAGGTAACTCAGCCCCAGGCCTCTGGTGGCATTTTTTTTTCTTTTTGAGTCACATCCGGCCATGAACAGGGGGGACTCCTGGCTCTGCACTCAGGAATTCCTCCTGGCGGTGCTCAGGGGACCCTCTGGGATGCTGGGAATCGAACCCGGGTCGGCTGCATGCAAGGCAAACACCCTCCCCGCTGTGCTATTGCTCCAGCCCCTAACTGGAGGCATTTTTTTTTCTTTTTCTTTTTAGGGGTTTCTCACTCAGTGGGACTGGGGGGTCCAGGGTCACTCCCAGGCGATGCCCCCAGCCGTGCTGGGGTGGTGATATGTCAGGCCTGGAACTCGGGGCCTCACGTGTAACAGACATGTGCTCTACACTGCAGCCTCCTCCCGGTAGCTCTTCTCCATCACTGAATTCTGCAGGCTCCGAACAACAAAAAAGCCCCCTACCCTGCCTGAGGTCGGCCCAGAAGGAAACTGCCTTCCCAATTACAGAAATTCCCCCCAAGTTCTACTTATATCAGTCACATAAAGAACCTCCCTGTGTGGCAAAAGGCAGCCGAGTGATCTGGTGCCCAGAGCACCCCTGAGGTGCGGACAGCAGGCATGCGAGGCAAGTTCTCCCTGCTCCTATTCCCAAGGAGAGGCTGAGGCTAACACTGGGCTGGGTTTGATTTGGAGACCACATCCAGCAGTGCTCAGGGACCACTTCTTCCTGGCTTGGTGCACTGCTGAGGGAACCATGGGGTGGGAGGCGTAGACCCACATATAAAACATGGACCCCCGCCCTCCCAACTGTCTCCCCCACCCTGAACTCAATTTTTCTTGTTTTGGCAGGGATGTGGGCACACCCAGCGGCAGTGCTCAGATCTTACTCCTGGCTTTGCACCCAGGGATCACTCCTGGTGGTGCTCATGTGGGGTGCCATCATAGAGTGCCAGGGATCGAACCTAGGTTGGCTGCATGCAGGGATAACACTCTATCCACTGTCCTCTGTCCCGTCCCATGTCAACTTTTAACTCTTTTTAGCTTGACTCATCGCAGAAGTATGCCCAGGACTAAGGCGCGTTTCTTGCACACAGGAGACCCCGGTTCAATCCCTGGCTCCAAATAGAGTCCATCACCTCAGCCTGTTTCCCAGTCTCTCCCAGATGATGCCCAGATCTGTCTCACAGGAGAGAAAGAGCAGCCGAGTGCCCTGATGCTTGGAGCCTGGAGCCGGTTAGCGTCACAGGACAGGGCGTGAGGGGCTCTCGGGTACTAGGTACTAGTTCTGTAAGACTTGTTCTGTCCACTCTCAAAGAAAAGCAACACGAGGAAGAAAGACCCATTCATTGAGCACCCGAGGTGCATCCCATTGACCTATATAATCCACTTAATTCCCAGCTCTGTGGAGGGCATCTTTGCTCTTCTTGCAAGCGGAGAAACCAAGACTGCGGGGAATTACACATGGGTTCAAGATCCTGAAAGCCAGGCACACCCTTCCGGGCCAGCTGCAGCAAAGGCGGCTCCCAGCGTCCATGGTCTGGCTCACACTGGCCCCAGCACTGCCATGTACTGTCCCCTTGGCTTTGGCTCAGTCACGAAACCAGAGGCTAAAGGCTGGGTTCCTTTTTGCTGGTGCGGACCAAGAACACTGTTCCAAGCCTTCTTCACTCCAGCGGGCTTCTCCGGCACCCGCATCATCTGAACAAGAACCAACCCGATTCTCCCACCCTCCCGTGCTGTCGGAAACCAGCCAGGGATGCTCGAGCCACAAGTCTTTGCGGCATCTTCTCCTGACTCTCACACATTGCAGTGACACCCCCTCAGCTCAGTGGACTGGGGGATCCACACAAAAGCCTCTTTTAGCTCTTGCCACGCCCCCCCCCCCCCCCCACCACCCAGGCCTGTGAGGAGGTTGCTGAGAAATTTCAGATGGAAACTTCTCTGGGCAGTCGGAGGATAACCTCTTTGGAAAAAGCACCTCGCCTGGTGCTCCTGCAACCAACACGGCACTGACCTTGGCACTGTCCTCCACTAGCCCGCCGTGCACCACAATGATCCTGCATTACACTGGCTGAGTTAGCCGTCAATATGCATTTGCCCAAGTGGAAGGGGTGTGAAAACACTGCAGGAATCTGAATCCTGGGCTGCTCCTGGAGAAATGCCTCTAACTAGCCCAGACAGGAGACGCGCCCTCTCTAGGGCTCACCTGGGCACTGCCCCCCCCCCCAAACACAGACACACAGAATCCTGTTTCCCAAACCAAGTACACACACATGCATGCAGACACAGACACACACACAATCCTGCTCCCCAAGCCATGCACACACACATGCATGCACTGACACACAGACACACACAACCCTGTTCCCCAAACCAAGTACACACACACATGCTTGCAGACACAGACACACACACAATCCTGCTCCCCAAGCCATGCACACACACATGCATGCACTGACACACAGACACACACAATCCTGTTCCCCAAACCAAGTACACACACATGCATGCAGACACAGACACACACACAATCCTGCTCCCCAAGCCATGCACACACACATGCATGCACTGACACACAGACACACACAATCCTGTTCCCCAAACCAAGTACACACACATGCATGCAGACACAGACACACAGACACACACGCACACACAACCCTGTTCCCCAAACCAAGTACACACACACATGCATGCAGACAGACACACACACAATCCTGCTCCCCAAGCCATGCACACACACATGCATGCACTGACACACAGACACACACAATCCTGTTCCCCAAACCAAGTACACACACATGCATGCAGACACAGACACACAGACACACACGCACACACAACCCTGTTCCCCAAACCAAGTACACACACACATGCATGCAGACACAGACACACACACAATCCTGCTCCCCAAGCCATGCACACACACATGCATGCACTGACACACAGACACACACAATCCTGTTCCCCAAACCAAGTACACACACATGCATGCAGACACAGACACACACACACACACAATCCTGCTCCCCAAGCCATGCACACACACATGCATGCACTGACACACAGACACACACAATCCTGTTCCCCAAACCAAGTACACACATGCATGCAGACACAGACACACAGACACACACGCACACACAACCCTGTTCCCCAAACCAAGCATGCACAGACACACAGACACACACGCACACACAACCCTGTTCCCCAAACCAAGCATGCACAGACACACAGACACACACACACAGTCCTGTTCCCCAAACCCAGCATGCAAAGACACACAGATACAGACACACACACAATCCTGTTCGGATGCACATATACACACATGCACTCCTGTTCCCCTAACCAAGCACATGCTCCTGCATGCATGCATGCATGCATCAAACACGCTCGCTCTCTCACCCAGTGCCCAAATCAAGCTCCAGGGTTGCCCGTGGCTGCCCCCTGGTGGCTCTTCAATGAGAATGACACTTCAATGACGGCGTTTGGGGCAGGCGCTTTATTTTAGGTGGTGGTCCCTGTTCTAGAGAAATCCTGTGAGGTCTACAGCGGCCTCGGCAGTGCCCGCCCCAGGAATGAGGCCCTGCCCTCCCTGCCGGCAGATCGCTGCAGAAAAGGCTGGACTCCAGGAAGCAGGCCCAGGCTCAGAAGCGGAGCTGGAAGGCTTCTGTCACGTGCTGCTTCCACGTGTCCAGGTTGGGCAGAAGGGAGGAGATGCCCATGACGTGCCACGTGGCCCCCTCGGACACCGACGAGAGCTGGTAGGACAGCAGCTGCACGCCCGCCTTGGTGAGAAGGTCTGGAAGCAAACAGATCTCTGGATGAGCACTGGGCTCGGGGCAAGAAGCCAGGAGTTGGGGCCAAGATCAGAATCTTGGATCTCCTCTGTGACCCGAGATGCAGGGCAGCAGAATTGAGAACCGGGGCCAGAATGATAGGACGCTGCCTCGCATGCAGTCTGCCAGGGCTCGATGCCCGGCCTCCCATCTAGTTGCCTGAGCACCAGCAGGAGTGACCCCGAGCATCGCTGGTGTGGCCCCCAACCCCGAAAATGTTCAGAATCAGAGGGGAGGAAGGACCTAGCTGTCTCCTTAGGAAAACCCCAAGAGCCCACAACAGGGTGAGGCGGAGGGGGGCCCAGCTGCAAGGAGCTAGTGCCGCCCCCTGCTGGCTGACTGACAGTTTTATTCAGAGCGACATTAAGGAGGGAAACCAGGGCAAGATCCTCTGAGCCACTGGCCGAGATGGTGACTCAGGCCCTGGGGGTCTGCTGGCACATTCTCTGCCAAACTTGGAAGCGCTTCAACATTTCCAGCAGGCAGGGCCCCTTGAGGCACAGGATGGCCGTGGTCGGTGCATCCTGCATCCCAGAGCTCTGAGTTCCGGGGGACACGGTCCACGGGCAACGCCCCTCTGTCTTCACTGGGGGAGGTTCAGGCTGGACACCCGCAGCTGGTCTGAGAGCAGGAGTCTGGGGCTTGGCCCCAGCTCCCCATCTCGGGGACTGCAGAGAAGCGACTTCTCCTCTGACACAGTGAGTCCTTTCCCAGGATATTCTAGAGACTGGCTCTTTCTCTCTCTGCTGAGGGTCCGCAGCTGCCCGAGGGCACAGAGAGGGGCTTGCGAAGAGAAAGGGACGCAGAGGTCTATACAGCCCACCAGAGCCATCCTGGTGCCTGTGGGTGGCCTGGCCCCACTTACCGATCACGGTGGGCAGCATGGCAGGGCTGGAAGCCTGAGCCCGGAACAGAAGCAGCGGCAGGTCCCGGCGCAGAGGCACCGCGGGGCTAAACACGGCTCCGTTGAGTGCCTGCAGAACTGGGGTGGTGCCTTGGACAGAGCCCACCGCCTGGTAGGGGGCGCCCTTCAGGGCCACTGTCAGGAGGCTCTCCCCACTGCCCTGGTCTCCGGGCACCGTGGGGCTGTGTGAGGTGGTGACCTGCAGAGGGAGACAGGGAGCAGTCACCCACCCCTGCCTCGGTCACCAGGCCAGCCGGGAGGGGCTTCCGCTCGCTCGGGGTGGGTCAGGGCAAAGGGCTAAGCTTGTGGTCCTGAGCATTCACTTCCTGGAGTCGTCAAGACCACCCCAAGGGGAACGCAGGTAAAGCACTGCTGAGAACGGGCCAAAGTTAGGATGGGGGGCTGGAGCCATAGCACAGCGGGGAGGGTGTCTGCCTTGCATGCGGCCAAACCGGTTCGATTCCCAGCACCCCATACGGTCCCCCGAGCACCGCCAGGAGTGATTCCTGAGTGCAGAGCCAGGAGGAACCCTGACCATTGCCGGGTGTGACCCAAAAGGCAAAACAACCAAAGAAGGAAAGTCAGGATGGGAGGCTGGGGTGGGGGAGGGAGGCGCGGGGAGGGCCGGGGGAAGTGAAGGTGAGGGGGTCGGGGCAGTGAGAAGGGAGTGGTGTGTGGGTCTGACCCAGAGGCTGCCCCACCGGGACCCCCATGCTCAGCTCACTCCAGCCTGCACAGAATCAGGGCCATGCTGGGACTTAGGGGGAGGAGAGGGGGCGGGGGGAGGGGGTGCACAGAGTCCACTGCCCAGAGCTCCTGCCAGCTCCTTTGCCTGGGACACTGCCGTGGACTGTGGAAACCAGAGGGGACGGTACCACAGGCACCCACGGGTGCGGCAGAGGCAGAGAGAGAGCACTTGAGAGCCCTCGACTTGGCCAGGAGCCCCAGAACCCGAGTGCCTTGGCTTAGGGCTCTGGAGGGCAGCAAGCCATGCACCGTGGGGTTCCCCCAGGCTGGGCTCCGGCACTGTGGGCAAGCTGTGGAGTGAAGGGTGTGGCCCCCCCCCTGCCTGCTCATGGCACAAGAGCCACCGAGTGTGAGTTCCTGCGGTCACACTTGAGGCAGCTCTGTCCTCTGCAGACGAAGAGAACAGGTGTCTGGCTCGGGTCACATCAGCATGGGGGGCCCACGCTGAGGGAAGGGAGTGGGAAAGGGGGGAGGGGGTGGTCTGGGGGGGCAGACGACACGCACGCTGAGGCCGGCCTCCTGCACCAGCAGCTTGGCGTTCACCAGGTTCACGTCGGCCTGACTGGACGCTTCCTTCAGGAGACCCACAATGACCGCGGGGCTCAGGCAGTTCCCTGCATTCTTCAGGGATGTTCCTGGGGACCCAGAGAAGTCACCGTAAGGCTGCGGCTTGGTGAGGGACAGAGGCCCACAGGAGCGCTCTGGATCCCGGGCCCTTACTCTGGGCACCAGCCCAGCCTGCCCAGGCGGGTCCGCTTTCCTGACAGTGGAGAAGCAGCAGGTCTCGGGGGGCAGCCCAGGACCGGGGCACCGGGCCTCCGTCCAGCCATCTCCAAAGCACCTCTCAGGGCAGGTAAGGCACTGGCCTTGCACGTGGTTGACCCCCGTTCCATCCCCTGGACCCTCGATGGCCCCCTGAGCACTGCCAGGAGTGATTCCTGAGCACAGAGCCAGATGTAAGTTCTGAGCTCCGCTGTGCAGCCTGGTTAGTGGACACCCAGACTAGGCCCCAAGTGCTGTAGTCAGGCCAAAGCCCCCCGTCCCGTGTCACAGAGCATCAAATGTTGCCCTTGGCCCCCAATTCTCACTGCACGGTGAAGGTCCCTCCCTGCTGGCTGAGAGAAGCAACAAGGCTGGCATCAGCATCAGACACGCAGACCGTTCCCCTGGGACGCCCTCCCTCCATCCCCACCGCCCTGGGATGAAATTCCAACTCCGTTTGAGTCTCTTGCGCGTCGTACTCATTCTTACAATGCTCGAAAAAAAATAAGAGTTGTGTTAGGATAACGCGGGGATGAAGGTGCTTGCCTGGCACACGGCCCATTGCAGCTTGATCCCAGCTCCCCCTATGGTCCCCTGAGCACTGAACCAGGAGTAAGCCCTGAGCACTGCTGGGCCTGGCTCCCAAAACAAAACCAAGAAAGAAAATCCCCCAAAGCAGATCGGTGAAAAGGAAGTCTTTCTCCCCCAGTGGCCGTTTGGAAGGGGTCTGGGCCTCACCTGTGCTCTGGCGCTCAGAGGACCGTGCAGTGCTGGGCATGCAGCCTCGAACCCCAGGCAGAGCCACGACCTGCCGAGCCGGGGACCTCTGTGCCCCCGACCCCCCGCCCTGCCCACAACAGCGGGGGTAGGGGCTCAGAACAAGGGACTCGAAGTCGCACGGCCGGGGGCCTTCGGTTCCTCAGTGGTCTGGGAACCGCAGCACTCAAACCCCGTGGGACACTGGGCCTCTGTTCCCTTCCCCCTCCTCTTCCGAAGGACCCGGCAGTCACCTTGTGTCGTGATGTGAATGGTCCCCTTGGGGGATCCAGCCCAGGAGCGCATCAGGGTCCCCAGAGCTTCCGCCAGGCCAATCCAAGGCTTAGTGTGCGGGGAGAAGGCACTGGTGAGGGCCTGGGCGTTCACCTGCAGGGGGAGAGGGGCCGGGGGTAGGGTCAGGGAGACGGAGAGGGACAGCTGCCCATCGGCCTCCAGAGGAAAGCCCGCTGTGAGGCTCAACTCCCCAAGGAGAACAGAGAGTAGTGAGCCACCCTGGCTCTGTGTGTGTGTGTGTGTGTGTGTGTGTGTGTGTGTGTGTGTGTGTGTGTGACAACTGCCACCAGCCCCCAGCAAGGCAACTCCATGCTGCTACGGCTTAGAAGAGCTGCGGGACCACAGAAGGGCTGAACCCACTGCCTGCTGCTGAAGGAGGATTCACAGCATTGCCCTGCACGGAGCTGCTGGCTGCCCGTCCCCTGTGCTCCCCGGAGGGTCTGCGCTTGGACAGGAATGCACGGGGCATCGGAGAGCACATGGAGGCAGGGTGGGAGCCCTCTCGCGGGGCACCCCCAGTGAGCCTTCATCTTCATTCTCCATCTTGGCTTTTTAAATAAGGCGTTTACATAGTCACTGCAAACAGTGACTCTGAGCTCTAATGAATAAATCTCCATTATACTCTCCACGACACTCTCCCTCCTCAGACAGTGGCCGGAAGTCGCCGCCATGTGTGCTCCTAAGATCCTAAGTCTGGGGTCTTATCAGTCAGACCCCACCAGGAGGCCAAAGGCCTGGGAGTGTCCTGGGTCCAAATGTCTGCCCCGTGTTTGGCTCTGATGAAGTCCTGGCCACTTTCACTGAGGTCGCTTGCAGACTGACAGACCACCTAAGGAGGACTGAATCAGAAACCTGAGGACTGGTGCAAATCTAGCAGGAAGCTCTAAGATGTGACAGAAAGAAAACAAGCTCCCTTCCCTGCCTTCGAAGAGATGGAACTGTCAGAGCATCAAAAGCATGTGTGGCACCGGGTTGGAATGACCCCTGGGAGTGGGGACTGGGCTGGGGGTCCTTTTTTTCTGTTTTTTTTTAATTAGTGAAACACCATGAGGTGCAGTTGTAGACTTACAAGTTGTTGTGCTTGGGTTTCAGTTATACAATGATCGAGTACCTATCCCACCGGTACCAGTGCCCATTCTCCACCCCCACCAATCCCAGTATCCCTCCCACCCCCCAATCCCCCATCCCACCCTGCCTCTGTGGTAGGGAACTCCCTTTTGTTCTCCCTTTTGGGTGCTGTGGTCTGCAGAAGAGACATTGGGTGGCAATCATGTTCTGCCTATTGCCGTATTGTTTTTAAACCGTTTGTGGTCCCATGTGATAGAGTTCCTTTCACAAAAACGCCCAAGGGCTTCTCTGAACTCACTTCACTGTGAGTAATCCACACTGCGGGCAGAAACCCACTTTGGAAAGGCCCGAAAACAGAAAAGCCAAGTGCCGATTACTGGGCCGTGCTTAAGCGCCAAACCCTGGCCTGGGTCCTGGCCCGAAGTCACTGGGAAGAAATGGACGTGCTCCGCAGCCTCAGGCTGCCTGGCCAAGCCTCATGGAGGGGAAGGGCACAGGGGTCACCAGGCCTCACCCAGAGCTCAGGAGTGGAGGTTCCTGTCCCCTCGGGATGTCCGAGGAGCACCTTCCTCAGGACGTCAGGCGAGCACGTCACATGGCAGGGCCAATAAAGGAGAAAGCCATTCCGTCTCTCTGAGCCACAGTGCCTGGCCGAGAGGCAGATTCCCACATGGGCAGGCAGGAAGGCAGAAGTCTCAGTGGCGCCCCAAGGCCGGCCTCCCCAGCATACCCTGACTTCCATTTCAGCAGAAAGTGCTCTGGGCTGGAGCTCTGCCAGGGACAAAGACGCTTTATGTAGCAAGAGCTTGTCCCCCAGGACTCAAAATTTAACTCAGGAGAAAGATGGAAACTCCTAAAACATTAAAAAAAAAAAAGTTCTTGGGGCTGGAGAGATAGCACAGCGGGTAGGGCGTTTGCCTTGCAAGCAGCCGACCCGGGTTCGATTCCCAGCATCCCATATGGTCCCCTGAGCACCGCCAGGAGTAACTCCTGAGTGCAGAGCCAGGAGTAACCCCTGTGCATCGCCAGGTGTGACCCAAAGAGAAAAAAAAAAGTTCTTTTTTTATAAAGGATTTATGGAGTGCAGCTAGGCTCCACATTTACGCTAAAGACAGTGAACAGTGAGTATGATAGGGTTAAAAATACGAATGAGATTTTGTGGACAGACTGGCGGTGGGGCGGTCCTTGGAACCGGGAGGGAAGCGTGCAGTGCCCCGGGGACGGGCGTGGTGTTGGAACCAGGTGTGCACGACAAGTGTGATCAGCACTCTTATCAGAAATCCTGGCACTGCAACCAAATGCTTTAAAAAAAATACCGAAGATGTGAGATTTGAACTGGGCTCCTGGTTTAGTTGGGTTTGGCCACCCCGACTGTGCTCGGGGCTGACTCCTGGTGGGACTCGGGGGTGATGAATCAGGGCACTGGGACTGAGCCCAGCGAGTCTGCAGCAGAGGGACCACGACCAAGCGAGCCTTCCTGAACCAGGCAGCGGCCCCTCAGAGACCCACACCTTCCTCATCCACAGAACCCAGAGGGCCTGTCGGTGACCAGCTCCCAGGAGGCACATAAGGGTCATCCAGAGACTCAAAGACCCGGACAGGAAGGACAGCGAGCTGGGCCAGGCCTGGGGGATGACGGACACTACTAAGCAGGGCTCAAGTGGACCAAGAAGAGCAGAGGTCAAGAGGCCACGGTGTGGGAAGCAGGGGGGTGGCCATGTGTGTGTGGGGGCGGGGGCGCCGGGTCAGTAGGGCCCGTCCACCACCCTGGCTCCAGGATGGGCAGGAGAGGCGAGGGGCGTTCCGAGAGGAGACTCAGGCTGGCCTCAGCCGGGCCCAGAATGCAGTGCTCGAGGCTGGCGTCCCGCCCGGACTCTCCCCCACTCCAGGGCCAGAAGAACAAACGAGCCTTTGTCCAGAGCCCAGCCCGGGAGGGAGAAGCTGCAGCTGGCATCGGGGTGACAGACAATGTAATGGGGCTGATCCGGGCTTCCTGCTGCCAGGCCTCGATGCCAGAGGAAAGGGGGCGGCCGGTGTCCACCTCCAAACCCCTGGACTGCAGTGCTTGACCGCTAGCTCCACACCTCACTCATTCATTCCCAGCAGCCAGCACCCACCCCTCCCCCCACCGCCGCCACCGTACTTACAACGCCCGTGAGAGACTTCCCCTTCACCATGTCCACAAACTGCACCGCAATTTCCTCTCCACAGCGGCTCTGGGCCTCCTTGGTGCTGGCCCCCAGGTGGGGACAGCTGATGACGTTCTCGTGGTCCACCAAAGCTCGGTCCCGGGGCGGCTCCTGACCAGGAACAGACACCGCTTGGCCCTGGACACCCGTGGCTGCCCAGGGCAGGGGGGCACTTGGAGGAGACGTGGGAGAGATATGCCTTCTGCTCTCTTTCGGGGGTGGGGGGCTCATGGGTTCAGTACGCAGCTCCTTCCAGAGCGTTCTACCAAGCACAGTGACCAGATTCTAACCTCAGCACCAACAGAGAAGCTGCCGGTGTGCCTTCAGTACACCCTGCATCTCTCTAGCCTCAGTGACCTGCCTACCAAAGGGCCCACCTCCGACATTATGGGGGTGATTACATGCAGGAGGCTCTGACCAGCCTGGGCATTGGTGCTTCTCCTAGTCCCACTGCACGCCCTTCTCACGCTTACTGCTGGCACTCAGCACAGTGACGGGCTCCCCGCAGGAACGTAGGGCTGGTGGCTCTCCCCCAGGACACCCAGTCCCCCGTGGCCCTCCCATGCCTCTGCCTGCTGGTGCCGCCCCTGGAGCACCGACAAGGCCTCCACGCCCCTTGAAGCTGTTCTCCCTGTGCGGTGGCCCCGCTCACTGAGGCCACATGGCCCCGAGATGCTCAGCCAGGTGGAGCCAGGCACACCCCGACGCCAAAGAGGCGAGAAGGAGAGTCTGCACCTCGCGGCCGGGCAGTGAGCCAGCAGTGACGCCAGCAAGCACAGAGGAGAGCCAGAAACCAAGGCCACAAAGCGAGTGACCGGCAAGACCCTCGACCTTCTGACACTGGGTGAGCAGAAGACCCAGGGAGGCACTCCTGGCTCTGTGCTCAGCGCTGACTCCCAGCTCTGTGCTCAAGGAACACTCCTGGCTCTGCAGGGCTGGGGCTCAGGAAATCAGAATATTCCTAACCATGATCCTTCTCCCAGGGAAAGACAGCCCATGGCCGTGGGGGCGAGTCCGCTTAGAAGGAGACTCAGCCCCCAGAGTGGGCAGTCACAGCCCTCACCTGTCCTAAACGCTTTATTTACTTATTTACTTCTTTCTTTCTTTCTTTCTTTCTTTCTTTCTTTCTTTCTTTCTTTCTTTCTTTCTTCCCTCCTTCCTTCCCTCCTTCCTTCCCTCCTTCCTTCCTTCCTTCCTTCCTTCCTTCCTTCCTTCCTGTCTGCCTGCCTTTCTTTTCTTCTTTTTGGGTCACACCCGGCGATGCACAGGGGTTACTCCTGGCTCTGCACTCAGGAATTACTCCTGGCGGTAGCTCAGGGGACCAGATGGGATGCTGGGAATCGAACCCGGGTCGGCCGTGTGCAAGGCTAACACCCTCCCCGCTGTGCTATGGCTCCAGCCCTTGCCCTAGACTCTTCACCCCAGAAAACATGCTGTTCTGTCTATGCGGGACTGAGTCAAGGAGACAGAGATGGGAACTGGATCCTACTTGCAGAAAGTGAGACGGCCGCCTTTGCCCCAGGCTCCTCCTCGGGACGTGGTATCTCTCCAGACTCTAAGGTGCTCCTCTGGGCCACCAGCCGCCCCTTCTGAGGACTGAGACAGTGAGCCCAGGGCCTCAGGCCAGGTCCACGGTTCCTGCCACATGCAGCTCTGCCCCCCCACCCCGCCCGCCCCCGGCACCCAACCCGGGCACTCACTTCTGTGAACACGTCCAGTGCGGCTCCAGCGCAGTGGCCAGACTGCAGCGCCCGCAGCAGCGCCCCCTCATCCACGATCCCGCCCCGGGCACAGTTCACCACGCGCACCCCCTTCTTGCACTGGGCAAAGGTGCCGTCGTTCAGCAAGCCTGGGGGGAGAAAGGGTCCCTTCCTGCAGCAGCGGGCGTGCCAGGGGCCCCGACGCCCGGCCTGAGCTCCAGCAGAATCCATCTCTCCTTCCTCGGAACCAGCTCTGTCCCCAGAGGCCTCTCTCGCACCCAGACACCGGCCACTTTGGTCTCACCTCTCACCTCAGGCTCTCAGAATTTGGGGCAGACTCTGTTTATTTGTGGGCATCGTGGGGGGCACATTTGGCAGTGCTCAGGGCTTGCTCCTGACTCTGAGCTCAAGGACCATTCCTTGCTTGGTGCTCAGGAATCACTCCTGGCTCCATGCTCAGCGCTGACTCCCAGCTCTGTGCTCAAGGAACACTCCTGGCTCTGTGCTCAGGGACCACTCCTTGACTCCTGGTTCCATGCTCAGGGATCACTCCTGGCTCTGTGCTCAGGGACCACTCCTGGTTCCGCGCTCAGGGATCACTCCTGGCTCCATGCTCAGGGGTAACTTCTGGCTCTGTGCTCAGCGCTGACTCCCAGCTCTGTGCTCAGGGAACACTCCTGGCTCTGTGCTCAGGGACCACTCCTTGACTCCTGGTTCTGTGCTCAGGGATCACTCCTGGCTCTGTGCTCAGCGCTGACTCCCAGCTCTGTGCTCAAGGAACACTCCTGGCTCTGTGCTCAGGGACCACTCCTGGTTCCGCGCTCAGGGATCACTCCTGGCTCCATGCTCAGGGGTAACTTCTGGCTCTGTGCTCAGTGCTGACTCCCAGCTCTGTGCTCAGGGAACACTCCTGGCTCTGTGCTCAGGGACCACTCCTTGACTCCTGGTTCTGTGCTCAGGGATCACTCCTGGTTCTGTGCTCAGGGATCACTCCTGGCTCTGTGCTCAGCGCTGACTCCCAGCTCTGTGCTCAAGGAACACTCCTGGCTCTGTGCTCAGGGACCACTCCTGGTTCCGCGCTCAGGGATCACTCCTGGCTCCATGCTCAGGAGTAACTTCTGGCTCTGTGCTCAGCGCTGACTCCCAGCTCTGTGCTCAGGGAACACTCCTGGCTCTGTGCTCAGGGACCATTCCTTGACTCCTGGTTCTGTGCTCAGGGATCACTCCTGGCTCTGTGCTCAGGGACCACTCCTTGACTCCTGGCTCTGTGCTCAGGGATCACTCCTGGCTCTGTGCTCAGGGATCACTCCTGGCTCTGTGCTCAGGGACCACTCCTTGACTCCTGGCTCTGTGCTCAGGGATCACTCCTGGCTGTGCTCAGCGCTGACTCCCAGCTCTGTGCTCAAGGAACACTCCTGGCTCTGTGCTCAGGGACCACTCCTGGTTCCGCGCTCAGGGGTCACTCCTGGCTCCATGCTCAGGGGTAACTTCTGGCTCTGTGCTCAGCGCTGACTCCCAGCTCTGTGCTCAGGGAACACTCCTGGCTCTGTGCTCAGGGACCATTCCTTGACTCCTGGTTCTGTGCTCAGGGATCACTCCTGGCTCTGTGCTCAGGGACCACTCCTTGACTCCTGGCTCTGTGCTCAGGGATCACTCCTGGCTCTGTGCTCAGGGATCACTCCTGGCTCTGTGCTCAGGGACCACTCCTTGACTCCTGGCTCTGTGCTCAGGGATCACTCCTGGCTGTGCTCAGCGCTGACTCCCAGCTCTGTGCTCAGGGAACACTCCTGGCTCTGTGCTCAGGGACCACTCCTTGACTCCTGGTTCTGTGCTCAGGGATCACTCCTGGCTCTGTGCTCAGGGACCACTCCTTGACTCCTGGCTCTGTGCTCAGGGATCACTCCTGGCTCTGTGCTCAGGGATCACTCCTGGCTCTGTGCTCAGCGCTGACTCCCAGCTCTGTGCTCAAGGAACACTCCTGGCTCTGTGCTCAGGGACCACTCCTGGTTCCGCGCTCAGGGATCACTCCTGGCTCCATGCTCAGGGGTAACTTCTGGCTCTGTGCTCAGCGCTGACTCCCAGCTCTGTGCTCAGGGAACACTCCTGGCTCTGTGCTCAGGGACCACTCCTTGACTCCTGGTTCTGTGCTCAGGGATCACTCCTGGCTCTGTGCTCAGGGAACATTCCTGGCTCTGTGCTCAGGGACCACTCCTTGACTCCTGGTTCCACGCTCAGGGATCACTCCTGGTTCCGCGCTCAGGGATCACTCCTGGTTCCACGCTCAGGGTTCACTCCTGGTTCCGCGCTCAGGGATCACTCCTGGTTCCACGCTCAGGGATCACTCCTGGTTCCGCGCTCAGGGATCACTGCTGGCTCTGTGCTCAGGGATCACTCCTGGTTCTGCGCTTAGGAGTCACTCCTTGGCAGGGTTCGGGGGACCATGTGATGCCAGGGATCCTACCAGTCAGCTGTGTGCAAGGCCAGCACCCTCCCTGCTGTGCTCAAGACCCAACCTCGGGCAGACTCTTGTTTAAAAACACCCTGAAAGTTCCTAAGCTCCTGCTGCTCCCAGTGGGTGCCAGAAGCAGAAATTCCTGCAGCAGCCCGAAGGATCCGGGGTCACCGACCCTGCCTGTGCACCAGCTCCGAGCAGCCAACGTTTCTAGCCAGCTGCCTCCTCCTCCTCCTCCGGGAGAGGCAGGGCTGGCCAACAAAGGGTCACCACGGCCCAGGCTGGCAGGACTTGGGAGCACCTCCCCACTGCTTGGCTCCAGCTACCGCAGAAGATCGGGTCTGAGCACCCACCCTCATCCAGGCTGTGGCTTCCGTGGCACCTACCTGTCGTGGAGGGCAGGAGAGGCGTGTGCACTGTGATGAAATCACACACCGGCCAGATCTCCTCCAGGGGGAGCTGCTGAACACCAAAGGAGGCAGAGACCTCCGGCGAAATGATGGGGTCGTACCCTACAGTCTGAGAGAGAGGAAGAGAGGGAGGGAGAGAGAGAGAAGGAGGGGGAGGGAGGGAAAGAGGAGAGGGAGGGAGAGAAAGAGAGAGAGGGAGAGAGAGAGGCATTAATGATCATTAATTCGGGCACCCTTTTATCAAACAGTTACCAGACATCAAGCACTAATACCAAGACTTTTGCAAATATCAGTTTACGGTTTAGAACACACGCATGAAGGTACCGGCAGAGGAACAAAGGCATGCGGGTCCCGGGGCTGAGATCTCCAAGCCTGCTCGGATCGGAGCTGAGCATCCTCCACCCAGATCCTCCATCTTCCAGTAGGCAGGGTAACACCCACAACTGCCTCCCCCCGCCCCACCCCGTGTAATCCCATCATTGGCCAAGACCAACGCAGAGTCTCCTGCCTCTGTGCCTGGCTGTCCACGCCAAGGCCTCTTGGAGGGGGCAGGTTGAGTTTCCTTCCCCGCCCCAAGCAGAGCCCCGGCAGCCTAAGACCTCCAGAACCAGCCACAGCCATGCTGAGACCACTCTCCGTACACATGAAGGAACCGGCAGAGGAACACAGGCATGCGGGTCCCAGATCTCCAAACTGAGCATCCTCCACCCAGATCCTCCATCTTCCAGTAGGCAGGGGTCACACCCACCAACTGGTCCCCTGGCACCGTGTAATGCCATCAACGGCCAAAACCCAGAGACTATAAAACCCAGCTCCCGGAAGCGCAAATGCGGCCGCGTGACATCTTATTATCTCTTTCTTACTTTGGACAAACCGGCAGGCTACCGAATGTAACCTGCCCACACGGCAGTCTGGAAAACTCCCCGTGGCGTCCCCAATATGCCAAATACCAGTAACAATGATGGGTCTCATTCCCCTAACCCTGAAAGAGCCTTGAATATGGCACTTTTTGAAAAAATCTCAGGGCTAGGACAAAGGAGACGTTACTGGGGCCTGCTCGAACAACAGGATGGTCGTGATCATGATTGTGGTTTAGAACAATCCCACACAGGACTGGAGGAAAGGGCCAGCAGGTAAGTGCAGGGAGAGAAGGGTCCAAGCTGTGTTCCCTATGGATGGTCAGAATTCACCATTCCCCCCTCTTTCCGATGCTTTTGAACTTCCTCCCACTGGTGATGAATGTTTTTGAAACTTAGGGGACCCACAAAAGCCATCCTAGAAAGGACCGTCCGCGTGGATTCTAGATCAAACGCAGCCCTTCAAGAGAAGGAAAGTGACCTAACCAGGCACAAGACTTTAAAATCCATTCCTCCTCCTCAGTTTGAAGGAACAAAGAAAGCCTAGCAGGCCGGCACCGGGTCTCCCCGGGGACATGAGCTCTCCGGTCCCTGGGCGCCCACTCTTTCCTCGCTGTGGGAAGGATGGGCTGGGGGGGATCCCACCCATCTTCTCACAAGTCTTCTTTGTCTGCAGCCTCAAGCTTCAGTGACTGTGCTCATGTCCAGCATGGGCCTCCTGGTTTCCCCTGGAGGGGGAAGAGGCAGAGACCCCCGAGAATCACAAAGCCAAGCCTGGCAGGGCAAGTGCCCAGACACCCACGGCCCGGGAGACCTCAGGTGCCGCACGGGAGCTGCCCAGGCTGGGGCGGGCGCTCTGGCCAAGCTGCCCGGTGCCCCAGAGCCGTCGGGGAAGGGAAACAAGCTTCTTCCCGCGAGTCAGCAAAGGCCCGACTCATCTTCCTCCAGAGTGAGGGTCACGTTCATCTGCAGACAAGGCGGGGGGAAAATTTGGCTGAGAAAACACGGTTCTCCTCCATGGAGATCTGATACACAGGACGGACCCTCAGGAACCAACACTCAGTCCAGCATGGGGCTTCCCACACCTGGACGAGCAAAGAGGGGGACAGTGGGCACTGGAGAGAGCCCTAGCACGAAAGTCCCAACAGGTCACAAGTCCTGACTCGCAGAATCTGGAGTCACTCAACTCCAGAAGACTAGTTCTAAAGAGGAGTCCTGAGGAGAGGCAGAGAATCCCTCCTCAGCCCAGCCCAGGGCCAGGGGATAGCACAGCAGGGAGGGTGCTTGCTGGCATGCAGCTGACCCAGGTCTGAGCCCCAGCACCCCACACGGTCCTGGAATCCCCGCCAGGAGTGATCCCTGAGCACAGAGCCAGGAGTAAGCCCTAAGTATCAACAAGTATGGCCCCAAAACAAACAAACCCAATTCCAGCCCCAGAGCAGCGTTGGGGCAAAGCAACCCTTTTTTCAAGCACCGTTCCCGGGCCTCTTAGCTAGTGTCAGAGACGTCAGGGGCAGACTGAGCTTGCCCAAGTCAGAGCCGCGGGGCTGGCAGCCAATGGAGGCACAGAGTGGGTATAAAGGGATGCCAATGGCCACACCCGCTCTCTACCCACAGGGGAATGACTTGGCTTAGGCCTGGGATCATCCTTCCAGTAGGGTGACATCAGAAACCCCATTAAGAAAAAAAAAAATAGGGACCCAAGTGAAGATACAGAAAGTAGGCAAGTCGTGCCTGTCTTGCATGTGGCAGACCCGGGTTCAATCTCCAGTATCCCCTACAGTCCCCCAAGTCTGCCAGGAGTGAGGTCTGACTGCAGAGCCAGGAGCGAGGTCTGAGCACTGCTTGGGTGCGACCCAAAACCAAAATAAAGAAATCATTGTCATCCCGTCGTTCATCGATTTACTCGAGCGGGCACCAGTAACGTCTCCATTCGTCCTAGCCCTGAGATTTCAGCAGCCTCTCCTTACTCATCTTTCCTAACTTTCCCAAAGAGCTGAGCTGGAGGCTCTTTCAGGGTCAGGGGAATGAGGCCTGTTATTGTTTTTGGCATATCAAATATGCCATGAGGAGCTTGCCAATCAATCAATCAATCAATAAAACAGATCCATGCAATGCCACAGAGCCTCAGTCCACACACCAACCCCTGGGCCCCTCCCGGTGTCCCTACCCCTACGTACCTTTCGAGAAAACTTCAACAATCACTGCCTGAGGGCAACAGGAAAGCCAGCCCAGCCTGTCCTGGAGAGCTGCTGTCTGGGGCCAGGCACCAGCAGTGGCACAGGAGCAGGGACCTTGACCTCAGGACTAGGATGAGGGGAGCAGGGTGCGAGTCAGGAATTCCCAAAGCTGAGCTGGATGCTACTACTCCGGTTCCCTACTGTCTGGAGCCTGCCTGAGAACCTGCCCGGGCCTCAGCTTCCACCTCTGTGAAATGGGGAAACAGTCTTGACCTCTCAGATCACTAGAACACGGTCTCTGTCACAGCACATCCACCCCAGCGGACACCGCCCTTGAGGCAGGCTCCCAACCGTGGACCATTTGTCCTGACCCTTGCTTCTACTATCCTTGGGTTTTAGTTTCTTACTATGTTTTGTTTTGTTCATCCCTGGGATTTGGGATCAAACCCGGGATGAGCTTTACCAGCAATACAAGTTCTGTCCTTTGCACTTCTTACGTGTTAATATCTCACCCTGCTCCCTGTCATCCAAGGTGCTGATGAGAATTATGGGCATGGTAGAGTCCTGCACTGACCTGTACAACCACCCTCCAGACGCAGCCATCCTTCCACACTCAGCACCCAGTTCACAATCTCCAGCTCAACCTAAAGACGTCATGAACGCTCTCAACCAACAATGTCTTGTTGATGAGTCCATAAGGTAAAGGTAAAGGCCCTCCCATTGATCGTCGATTTGCTCGAGCGGGCCCAGTAACGTCTCCATTGGAGACTTTGTTGTTACTGTGTTTGGCATATCGAATACTCTCGGTAGCTTGCCGGGCTCTCTGAGAGGGGCGGAGGAATCGAACTCGGGTCGGCCATGTTGGCCGCGTGTAAGGCGAACGCCCTACCCGCTGTGCAGCCCCGTGTTGAGGAACTGTGCAAATGGAAAGCAACCTACCTCCTACCCATCCAAAGAATTCCATCCTACAGCATAAAGGAACGGTAAATCTATTCATGCCAAGAATTACATTTTTTTTTCCTTAAGGACATACACAAATTCTGTTTTCTCCAATGCCTTACTTGTGATATTCACAGAAACCCACTCAAGAACCTACTTCTTCTGTGGGTTCCCATGAATCACAGAAAACGAACACTATCTGTACAGAGACAAGGTCTGGGAAGGTGATCAGAAAGAGCCTGATCTATCTAGGTTTTCACTTTCCTGCATCCACTTATTGCAGGTCACGGTCACGGTCACGGTCACGGTCCTCCCGTTATTCATCGATTTGCTCGAGCGGGCCCAGTGACGTCTTCATTGTGACACTTGTTACTGTGTTTGGCATATCGAATACATCATGGGGAGCTTGCCAGGCTTTGCCGTGCGGGCGAGATACTCTCGGTAGCTTGCCGGGCTCTCTGACTTATTGCAGGATGAAAACATATTTTTGCATAGTGCAGGTTTATGATACCTAGGGTTTTCTAAAGGAAGAACAAAGCTAAGGCAAAACAATTTGTGCTTAGTAAACACTGATCATATCTCCCATCTGGATGATTATCAGTCATCTCTTTCACAATGTGTCCAAGAATCTTCCTTCCTTGCCCATTAAAAACCTTGCTCTCCCACACTGCCGAAGTCAGCTGAATTTTGAATGGCGCAGGTCCAGATCTCTCTGCCCTAAAATAAAACTCACCAGGATCCACAAATATATGATGGGACTCATCAAAATGAGCATCTGGGATCACCAAATGCAGGTGGCCCTGGAGGGGCTGAGTCGACCCTCGAAAACATTCTGAGAATAAATCACCTGTGCCTGCCGGCCATGGTGTGCCGAGACACAGGCCAGCGATCGCGACAAGCTCCAGCAATCTCCTTTCCTCAAACACATGCCTGAGTGGTCTCAGTCCCTTCCGGACAGATGCCCAAGTCCAGTCACCCTCTGTGCCTCCCGAAAGCAAAGGAACTGCTCAGTGCCGGATAAAAAGACACGTCTACCAGTTTATTCAATTCTTCAGGAAATGAGGGGAGGTTTTCTGCTTCACTGAAGTTACCACCAATGTCTCCAATGCTTGGCTGAGTGTTCTGGATCTGGAACCGGGCACGCTACGATGTCATGGGGAAGAGGGGTGGATGTAACAGGGTCCCTGCAGGCTGATGACCTGCACCACGTCACTGCATCATCACACACCCACCTGCATCACTGCATCATCAAACACCCACCCGTCTGGCAATGTGCACTGTGTTTTACTTGGTCCCTGACCCCTGCTTTCAGTCAATGCGAATTTCCATGAGCTAAACCTCTACTCGGATCCCTCCGAACCTCAGGGAGAGAATAATGGGCTCTGTTGGCTCTGGCATCCTCTTGGCCCTGTACAGAGAAGCTCGGCTCTGGGCTGCTTTCGATCAAGGTCTCTCTCGGAAGCCAGACACGTGAATCTGCTTCCCCTAGCGCTGCCAGCACGATGGGGGGAGTAGGGAGGGGAGGGAGAAGGATGCTCGATGCGGATCAAGACTCGCCCTCGTAGGTCCTTGCCTACGATCAATTTACTGTGAGTTCTGAGCAAAATCAGCTGCAAATGCAGCTATCAATAGAAACACGAAGGGTGAGTCGGTGAGTCTGTGAAGGTGAGAGAAGAGAAGGGAGCAACCAGAAAGTCCACAGAAGCCCAACGTGAACTTTTCCAGAACTGAAACGATTTTCCAGACTCTCTGCCTTAATGTTTAACTCAGGGATCCTGCTGGGAGTCTGAGCCCATAATCGCCCCCTCAACAGCCAGAGCAAACACAGGGCTGCCCCTCCACGTCCCGCCCCCGTTCCCAGCTCCTGTGACCCTGGCCTCTGACCTCCACACATCCCTCTGCGAGATGAGTGGCCTCCCTTTGCAAGGCCTCCAGGCTGCACTGAGCAGGCAACAGTGCTCTGAAGGACAAGTCCTCCCTCTGCCCAAAGTCCAGTTCGCCACCACTGCAGCACATGGCAGGCCCCCTGGGAGGCCAGTCAGGCCTATGAGTGGTGATTTCCGACACGTCAGGACTGCGGCGAGCGCGACAAAAATCAGCAGACAACAGCTCTGGTTGTTGCTGTTTTCTGAACTACCACAGGGGACAGATGCAGGAGGACAAGGCAGGGAGCAAAGCTGGACAGGACCCGGGCCCCTCTCTGCTCTCGCTGGACGTGGGGCCAGTGCTCGCTCCAGTGCCGAATCTTCCCAGAGGCTGAGTTCCGGAGTTCAGATGGGCAGGCCCCACCAGTCCCGGCTTGACTGACTGTTTTGTCACAGGCTTTGACTTAGGGGAAGGCTCTAGGGGCAGAAGCTTCAGCGAAGTCACCCACCAGCCTCTTACCTTCATCCCAAAGGACTGCATCCGGGTGGCCACCTCCCTGCCAATTCTTCCCAGGCCGAGAATTCCCAGGGTTTTTCCATTCAGCTCCATCCCCATGAACTGTAAACAAACAGGCAAAAGGTGGAATCAGCCTCAGGGCACCCTGGGCTCCGAGGTGGGACTGAGGGGGTGAGGCAGGCCTGGTGCTCACCTTCTTCCGGTCCCACTTGCCCTCTTTCATCGAGGCTGTCGCCTGGGGAATCTGCCTGCAAGGACACACAGAAGATCAGCAGCAGGTCCACCCAGACCCCGGCTGGAACAGGAAGGGAGGAGCCCAACACAGGCCCGCACAGACACTGGCTGTCACTTCCCAGGGACCCGTGTTGTGGCAAGCCTGTGGGAGCTGCGGAATGACCAGAGGAAGGCCCAAGGGTGCAGCAGAGGGAGATCCTGGCACCATGTGACCGGGCCAGTGAGGAGATGGGAAGAGGGTCTGACTCTGCCTCAGCCACTGAGGTAAGACGCTGGTTGGGTTTAAAACAAGAGTGTCTGCACCAGGATTCATCAGAAAGACAAAATGGAACCTTGAGGGATGACAACGATGATGATAAAGTCATCAAATGCGCCTCTGGATGTTCAAGAACTTGCATTTCTCTGGTCCATTCTGGGCCACCTCCCAGGCGCATCTTCCCCATCTCGGGGGGACAACATTTTCCTCGGAGACTTTCTTAAGCCCCCAAACTCTCAAACGACCAGATTGGGATGGGTAGGTAGCACAGTCCCAACATTTCTAACATTCACCCCAGCCCCCATTGCACTACAGAGAGAGAGAAAGACAGACGGACAGAACAGCCTCTCTTTCTATCATGAACACAACTGTCAAGTCTCCGTATTTTCTGAAAAAAAAAAAAAAAACACAAAGAAAGTGTAAGTTAGAAGGGAAAATCTGTTCCAGAGGACACGGTCCTGCAAGGATCTTTAGAAACAACCAGGAGACAATACTGTCACTGTCACTGTCCTCCTGTTGTTCATCAATTTTCTCGAGCAGGCCCAGTAACATTGTGAGACTTGTTACTGTGTTTGGCATATCGGAGGAGACAATAAATCTGGATTGATGTGACTCAGGGGTGTCTGCTCTGCTTTAGAGAGTGAGATACTCAAGTCCACATCTGCTTTATCACCCTCACTTCTCCTGGGCCCCTTCTCAGCCCCTGCAGCTCAAGCGCTCCCACCTCTGTGCAGTGCGCTCGTGGAAGTCCCACTGAACGGTCCCCGCCGACCCTCCCAGGGCCCTGCACCTGCAGGTTGCCACCCTCTCCTCCTGTGCAGAGCCTGGAGGCAGAGACCGGGAGCCACACCAGGGGCTGAGGCCAGTGAGTCCCTCATAGGTATGTTCCTTCACCGCTTTGATGCCTCCTTGGTAAGTGAGGTCAAGGCTGAGTGACTAAGAATGGTCACTTCCCATAAAACCACGCCACTTAATTTCCTTCAAGTAAACTTAGTCCTTCACTGAAGGGCGGGAAGGGCTGTGTCCACTCCTGAGCCTTCCTGCTGGGAGTGGAAGCAATGAACCAGGAACTGCACTGAGATCCCTCCCGACCTCCCTGAAGCCCCCCAAGGAAACACATCATCTGTGATCTGAAGAGTACAGGTGAAATAAGCACCAGCATCACTCACTCCTACCTGCCGTGCCGGGGGCTGCTCCTTTTTCTCTTAAATCTCTACCGGCCAGTGAACACCTATAAGGCTGCGGGGGGGAATCTCAGGGAAGAGCTAGGGCAAAGTGAACTCCTTCGAGTCTTCCCCTAGCAGAAGTGAGACCGGTCTTAAGAGGTGAATAGAAAATGCTTATTGGCCCCAGAAAGTTTCAGTAAAGAAGTGAGGAATTTGGGCCCTTCGGCTCAGCAACCTAAAGTATCTTCAGGCCTTGTCCATGGGCTTTGTGACCCTCCCACTATGAACACATGTTAGAAGTGCTGTGCGACAGCAGTTCTTGAAGCCATTCACTTCTCCAGATGACCACCCACGCTGGGAGACTCAGACTAGGTGTCAGAGCCACTGGGTCCCAGGTTGATCCCTCTAGCCCCAGGATTCCTGCATAGGGTTTGACCGTAGAAATCCTGGCGCCATAAATTCAGAGGTGGCACAGGAATCTCAGGACCGAATGCTTTCCATTCGGTCTTAACACACACCCGTAAAAGAACAGTCACCAAGGTAGGGAGACTGAGGGGCAGGAGAACCGGAGGGGGACCAAGTTCCACGGAGACATCCAGGCAGGAACCAACACTCCTCCAGCTTGACTTTGAAGAAGAAAAAGGAGGAGGAGAAGAAAGACAGGAAAGACGCCCCAGGGAGCAGAAAGCGCACTGGGGCAATGAGAGAAGGCACAGTGGTGGGCAAAGACTGAAAAAAAGACAGCAGATGTGATGATTCCCACGAGCCTGCCCCTCGGGAATGAGGGGAGCACTGCAGGTACACTCTCGCATTAGTGAGAGCACCCGACGTATGAGGGCCAGAATCATAGGAGACTGACCGCCTGGAAAGCTCTTGGCAGTCCGCACGCTGCCCGGTTCATCGAGTGTTTTGAAGTTCCTCCAGGTCACCAGCCACACATGACTCACCTGCCAGGGGCGGGCGCTGAGAGCCGGGGGACTTACCTGGCCAGGCACATGATCATCCCGCAGGTGAGCTCTGCAGCACTGAGGCTGTTCCCGTTGGGCGTGCTGCAAGCGGAGAGGTGAGAAGTCAGCGGCCCATCCCCGGCCTCAGGGAATCCCCAGAGTGCAAGTGCCTGTCTCCGGCTGCAAGAGCTCTCCAGCTCTTCATACAAACCCCAGGCCTGCACCGCCCCAAGTTCTCGGACGGACTTCTGCCCAAAGCCAGGGCTGAAAGCACACCCCTTTCTGCCCTCATGCACCAGAACGGCACCACAGGGCCCCATATCCAGACTTGCTCTTCCGAAGGCAGGGCAGTGTCCTGCTCACTCTGGAAGCATGTGTGCATCAGCCCTTCCGCAATCTGCCTGCCCATAGCAGCTGCACCCAGTCCCACTCGCTCACCCTGGCCGCGCCACCTCTCTGCAGGGCAGATGCCTGTCCCTGGTGCACGAGCCTCCATCATATCCCCCTAACTTGCTGCCCCTGGGAGCATTTAAAGTGAGTACTTTTTCTCTTTGCCTCTCAGGCTTCTCTACATGCCTCCTGGAAAATTCTGAACTGACAAAACTTCCTCACATATTCTGACAGAGCACCAGGCTGACTCGGACCATTTTACAGAAAGCAGTGCAGAGACACAGTAACCCACAGAACAGTCTTCATTTTTCCCAAGAGAATTTTGTTGTTCCAGGTCTCTAGTTTGGTGCGGGGAACACTTTATTCACAAAAAGGTTCATCCTCAACCAACGGCACCTCCCCTTCTCTCTAGCACATGAAGATACCACGGAGACACAAAGCCAAAAGATCCTATTTTTAAAGCTCAGGCAGAGGGGCCAGAATAAGAGTACAGAGAGAGAGGGTGCTCGCCTGGCCCATGGGTGGCCCAGGTTCAATGCCCGGCACCTCGTATGGCCTCCTGATCACAACCAGGAGTGATTTCTGAGTGCAGAGCCAAGAGGAAGCCCTGAGCATCGCCGGATGTGGTGCAAAAACAATTTAAAAGAATAAATAAGTCGGTCTGGAGCGATAGCACAGCAGGTAGGGCCTTTGCCTTGCACACGGTCGACCCAGGTTCGATTCCCAGCATCCCATATGGTCCCCTGAGTACCGCCAGGGGTGATTCCTAAGTACAGAGCCAGGAGGAACCCCTGTGCATCACCGGGTGTGACTCAAAAAGCAAAAAAAAAAAAAAAGAATAAGTAAGTCGGGGGAGGGATGTCCACTAGGCCAGGGAGGAGGCGGCAGAGGCTGCGGCACACCCGAGGCTGGCACTGCCCGTGGTCCTCTGGCACCACCATGAGCAACCACTTGGCACCGAGCCAGAAGAAACCCGGAGCACCAGCAGGTGGGATCCCAGAATTGACAAAAATTAAAAGGTCGAAAGAAAGGATTCTCTGTCGACTGTACAGACCTTCTGGCATCCCTGTTCCTAGTGTGACTAGTCACAGCCACATGACAGGAGCACTGAGAACGAGGCGGAGGCCGGGGAGCTCTGGGAACAACAGAAGAAGGCTCACTGCTGGCCACTTCGACTTCTGGGTACTGACCCAATCAAGTGACCTGTCCTGGCCGGAGGAAGGACTCGGGAACAATGCGGGTCCCGGAAGAAAAGCATTATGGGGGCAGAGAAGAGGAGGGGAGGGGGGCCGGCCGGCCGGAGCATCTGGTGCCAGGACCAGAGCCAGAAACGAGGGTTCCCTGGCACTGATGTGGCCTCTGGCCCGGTTTGCTGCAAGACCAGCTCTGCAGAGACACAAGGACACGTTTGCTCTTGGCCCTGGAGTGTGAAAAACCAAGCAGAGTCCTGGCGCCAGAGAAAAAGGTTCAGGAAAGGGAGGGAAGGAGAGGAGCAGGGTCACACTGGCGGCAGCGAGGCAGTGAACAAATTCGCGGTCACCCTGGCTTGTCTGCACACAGAAGGCCGCAGGGAAGGGGAGAGGAGGGCAGGGAACACAGACCATCCGACCAAGCAACCTTCCTGTTGCATGTACAGTTACAAGGGAAGCATGTACAGTTACAAGGACGCCCCGAGACCCCAGCCTGGACGTGGCCTCCAGCGGGCCCTGCTGAGTCCTCCTAACTCAAGGCTCAAGTCTCCCCGTCCCACCCCGCCAGTACTCCCAGCTTACTTCATCACCAGGATGCCCTTCCTGGTGGCCGCCTCCAGGTCCACGTTGTCCACTCCCGTGCCAGCCCTACCCACCACCTGGAGCTTCTCGGCCGCATTGATGACGTCAGCGGTCACCTTGGTGGCCGAGCGGACGATGAGGCCTTCACAGTCCTGAAAGAAGAGAAATATTTGGATTCACTTACTCAATCTTCGAGACGGCCCAGAGCCTCTATCACCAGCACAGAACTCTGCTGTCTGACACTGGACATTCAGGCTGCGACAGCACACGGTGATTCCCAGCAGAAAGAACCCACCCACCCGTTTTTCAAATCCAGGTCCTATCCCTTAGGGGCTGGAAGGAAATGAGATCAGGCAGCTACACCACCTGCACAACACCTTGGCCTGAGCATCACTGAGACCACCTCTGCCATCAGATCCTGAGCTACTGAGGGGAAGGGGAACGAATTCTACTCCGCAAACCTGGTGCATGGGAATGAGGTGATAAATTCTGGTTGATGGGGCTGGATAGCGATAGCACAGTGGGTAGGGCGTTGGCCTTGCACGCGGCCAACCCGGGTTCGATTCCCAGCATCCCATATGGTCCCCCGAGCACCGCCAGGAGTTAATTCCTGAGTGCATGGGCAACCCCTGTGCATGGCCGGGTGTGACCCAAAAAGCGAATAAATAAATTCTGGTTGACTGCAAAGAGAGTCGGGGAGGGGGAGGGACACCTGCTTATCTCTCTTCTGGGTATTTCATGAAGAGAAGAAAAACATCATTTCAAAACAAGTGCCTCCCACATTTATTTCAGCATCAGTTGCAAGAGTCAAGTGCCCTTGACAGATGCATCAGATGATGTGATGGGGCTGCAGAGACAGGACAGACACCGAGGCGCCTCCCTTGCTTGCTGCCAACCTGGTTCTGTGACTGGAACAGACAGGGGTCATTCCCGGGGCACAGAGCCAGGAAGAGGCCCTGAACTCCGCTGGGTGTGGTCAGCCCTCCACCGCAATACATAAAGAGATTTATGGCGTTTCCCTTGCACGCGGCCGACACAGGTTCGATTCCTCCGCCCCTCTGGGTCAGTCCGGCAAGCTACCGAGAGTATCCTGCCTGCACGGCAGAGCCTGGCAAGCTACCCGTGACATATTCGATATGCCAAACACAGTAACAACAAGTCTCACAATGGAGACACTACTGGTGCCCGCTCGAGCAAATCGATGAACAATGGTAGGACAGTGCTACAGTGGTATTGTTATTATTATTTCAAGTCAGAATCCCACACAGGCACTCCAAATCCTTTTTTTCCCCATACAGATCAAAAACAAAATCTCAAAACGCGAATTCCAAGATGTATTTGCAAGTGTGTGGTCCAAGCTCATTTCATGCATGAGAAACTTCAAGCCTAGAAAAGCCACCTCTGTCCCCTTCTCCTCCACTTCCCTCCCTCCCCCTTGCACGTCTTCCTTCCACTTATGGGGCACATGGTATAGAAGTCTCTCAAGAAGCAAGACTCTTGCCCACACAAGGTAAGTCACAGTTCCATCCCTCAAGTTGCTCACAGTGACAGACACCCTGAAACTCACAGTTCCCGTGCATGTGGTGACCGTGGAGTGTACGAATGAAAGGACCCTAAGGTTAGAGAAACCTTGGAGCTGACTGCCAGCCTCAGGGAGTGTGAGATATAGCCACTGGGCAGAAACCCAGCCAGTGCCCAAGCAAGGAGGGGACAACACTGCCCTCTGCACCATTACTAAGCTCACCACCCAGCCACAAAGAAAAGGGTTCCCTTGCCTGGTCACACACATGAACTTATTTCTGGGGAAGTCAATGACCTTCTCTTCCACCTTTTGAAACCTTTGTCATACCCAGACTTGATCAATCCCTTCCCCAATCTTTATTTTTTTATCACTGTTTCATATTTAGTTGTTTTCTGTCTGACAAGCAGTTTGGGTTCCTCGTGTTCATTTCGTGCCTTTAAAGCAAGGAATACGCGTGGAAATCTCTCCTGTTTTCTCCACTATATCTCCATGGGACCGGCCATGTCAGCCTGGGCACTAGGTACATAAACCACCTACTGATGGGGCCGGAGCTATAGCACAGTGGGTAGGGTGACTGCCTAACATGTAGTAGACCTGGGTGTGACCCTGCAGCGCCTCAAATGGTCCCCCAAGCTCTGCCAGGAGTCGTCTCTGAACACAGAGCCAGGAGTCAGCCCTGAGCATCCCTGGGTGTGGCCCCCAAACCAAACGAATAGAAAAGAAGTTACGAAGTACCCAGCAGGTCCCCAGTACTTCAGGCACCAAACTTTACATCATTCTCACCACAGTTCCAAGGAGATTGTTTTTTTCAACCCAGGCAAATTAAAAGAACTTTTGAAATGTAAGCATTTGAAGAAAATAAAAGGGGGTGATTGTGTGATGTCAGGATCGGGCAACTTTTCATATACCGGGCACAAGTCCCAGAAGCCGTAAAAGAAAATACGGACACGTTTGGTTACCTATAAAATTTAAACTTCTATATGGACGAAGGTCCCACAAATAAAGTTCAACGATTTTTCTCGAGCGGGCCCAGTAATGTCTCCATCGTGAGACTTTGTTGTTACTTTGCTGTTACTGTGTTTGGCATATCGAATACATCACGGGTAGCTTGCCAGGCTTTGCCGTGCAGGCGAGATACTCTTGGTAGCTTGCCGGGCTCTCCGAGAGGGGTGGAGGAATCGAACTCGGGTCGGCCATGTTGGCTGTGTGCAAGGCAAATGCCCTACCGCTGTGCTATCCCTCCAGCTGGAGTGATAGCAATAAGGACTGAGCACAAAAAATAACCCAGATTTCCTCCAGGGGTGACGCGAGAGCTCAAGGGGCTGGAGCACTTGGTAGTTCGGAGGTCCTGGGTTCGACTGCATGGTTTCCTAAGCAACCCTGGGGTGCCCCTTGTGCTCCTCCCCCCACCCCTAGCATCCCGGGGCCCCAGTACCTGGGAGTGGCCCTCGGATCCCCAGAGCACTCTGAGGAGACCTTCCCCTGCACTCCCACCTTCTAAGAAAAAGAAACACTAACAGGTAAGTGCATGCTTGGCATTCAAGAGTTCCAGGATCCAATCTTGGCACCACATGGACCACTAAGCCCTGCCAGGAGCAACCCCCAAAAGCAGAGAGCCGAAAGGAGACCCTGAGCACGATCAGGTGTACCAAAAGCCAAGAAGGAAAAAAAAGCATAAAACTACACATCTCTTTCAATAATCCATAAAACACAAAGAGATCTAAGTGGGCAATTTATAGAGGGACTACAAAGCAGTCAGTAATTTGTAAGATCCCAAGACAGGAAATTTCATGACAAAATCATTGTTAAATATGACATTTTCGAGCATCCCGTGGCAACAAGAATATTCCAAAGAAGGTAAGGACTGAGACGGGAGAGAACATCGCACAGCACCACCGGAGGCAGTTCTGCATCTGCTAGTGTACCTTAGTGTATCTCCTTTCACCATTGCCAATGGCACCTCAGGTCACTAGTGACATAGAAGAAATAAATCTCCCTTGAAGCAGAGTCCAAGTTCAACTGACAAGAAGGGATCACAGAGTAGGTGTCACCCCCAAAAGCCAGTCTTATCCCCTCGCCTCTCTAGCATCAAGTTCCAAGCCAAGTCCTGTTCCAGATGCTCTGCCCATCATTCCCATGGGTCCAGCCACTTGGAATCTCTCTCCAATGCAGCTGCCACCCTCTGCACACCTTGGAATTGCTTCCCACAGGGCAGACTGGCTGCAGAGATGATGCAAAGGGCCCAGAAGTCCATTACACCCTAATAGACCTCACGAAGCGGCAGTTTTCCTTGATAGCACAACGTCTCCCCATGGCAGGATCTCCGGATGGAGGGAGGTTGACTCCATCCAGAAACGCCGAGTTCACCTCCCCACAATGAACAGACCCAAAAATCCAAGGTTCTTGCCTGGCCCGAGTGAACCAGTTTGCAAAACCTCCGCCGTCTTCAACAACCGCAGCTTCATTGATTCTTGATGCCGACGCACTCAATCAGCACATTATTTACTGGCAGCTTGTGTGCTGACCTCACTCCTGCTGAACACTCAAAAATGGGGCCATCCTTTCCCCAGCTACAGGCCCTTCCTCTGAGACTCAGCTCCACGCTGCCCTTCTCTGCACTCTCCTCTCTTACACAGAATCTGTCCCTCTGCCTGCGTCCTCCACGCAGTCATCAGAGATCGATTAGAACTTTCTTCTCCCTGCTTTGTCAGTCTCAGGGTGGGAAGGTGCCACTGTCTGTCTGCTGACGCCTGTTCTGAGAGGCTGTGGGGGTACCCAGGATGAAGATGATGAGGCGAAGCAGGCACTCCCTCCCCCTCTCTCGGCTGCCAGGTCGCTGATCTGCAAGATTTACGGCTGTTCCCTACAAACCACACCAAGTCAGCTTTGGCAACGTTCCTCAAGTCTGCACATGCTTCCTTGCCCAGAGAGGACAGGCCCGGGCACGGAGATCATTCTAGCACTGCTGCAGCCTGACACAGAAATCACTGGGAAAATCAAAGAGACTCATACGTGGAGAGGGTGGGCAGGGAAATCATTCGAGGGACGGGACCTGCAGCTCTGACTACATTCAAGGGACGGGAGCTCCAGGTTTGACCCCTGGGACTGCCTTGGCCCCTGAGTCCCACCAGCAGTGACTTCCCCAAACCCACCAGGGCCACGCCGGGTACACACAGCATCTCGTCCCCAACACTGCTGGGTGTGACCCAGAAACTAAAATGAAGGGGGAAAAAAGGAAACTCCCCAGGTTATGTTTCCCCGTTACAGGGAAAGCACACTAATTAAGCAGGTACTTGTCCAGCAGCTGCAAAGTAAGTCCTGGCATAACAGATGAGAACTTGAGAATCTAAAGGAGTCTTTCACAAACTAGAAGACTCTTGGCAGGGAAATGTATTCGCTTCTCTTCTGTGAAATTCTGGAATCATGACTACGCTTTGTTTAAAGTCATGCATCACCACTGTTAGTTTTGTGGATTCTAATCAGAGCTGTTTTGGTGTTAAACAAGAGAAGATCGGGAGGCACTGCACACAGTAAGGGCATTATTTCATGAAATGTGTACGCACATATATATGTGCAAGCCAACTAATAATCAAAGTTGGTTTCTTGCTGGCTTAATGGTTACGGTGGGTTCGGTCCAAGTGTCCCTGTATTTTAGGTTTAAAGTGTGACCCCAGCTGATAGAAGCTTGAGCATTGTGAGTCCGAGATAAAATGCTTTTATTATTCGAAGTCAGCGTTTTCAAATTCTTTTAACTAGATCCACAGCAGGAAACAGTTCTAAGTTGTGATTTTATACTCACACACCCCTCGTGCCTGTGCACACAACATAACTACCAAGTTTCTGCCGGAGGTCTAAGCCATCTCCTGTGCCATCCTCACAGGAAAGTCCTTTCTCTGCGTTTTAAAATGCCGGCCATGCTCCATCCACTGACTCCATCCCACACAAGTGCGCTTTGACTGGCCTGCCAAAGTACCCTTCTGAGGAATAATTGTGCTCCCCGACCTCGGAGTTGGAGAGAATTCCGAGGAGCTGGAACAGAGGCCAAGTTCCCGCGGCATGAAAACGTTGGAAAGCGGGGAGGGAAGGGACACTTTTATATCCCTGCCCACACTGGACAAAAGGCCCAGTGGCTGGGAGCAGATCCGAGGGCTCTATGATGGGCCGCCCCACCCACAGGCAGGCAAGAGAAGCAGTGTCGCTGGGAGAAGCCACCGACCCGGACTGCTGGCCGTCTGCAACACCCTGAACGCATCCACCAAGTCCCTGGTCTCTCTATTCTGTGCAGAAGTGGCTGTGCCTGGCCCTGCAACCCCCAACTCCCTCATTAAAAACTCTAATTTCCGTTGTTGAAAAAAAAAAAATTGCACAGCCCCGAGCTCAGCCACTCTCCCAACCCGGTTGTCTGGTGGAAGCAAAAGGTGAAAGTCCCAAGCATTTTGTCTCAATGAACTCCTATGCATACAGGACAGAGCCCAGGGGCGGGTAACAGCACCCTGGGAGGAAAGGGGCACAGAGAAAGGGCACAGAAGATACATCCGGTACCTAGAGGCTGCGGGAGGAAACACGTGGCTGCCAAATAAAGGGTGTTGGGAGGCTCCTCCCAGGATGGGAGATGCATGCTGAAAGTTGACTACAGACCATGACTGTCACTCAAGGCCTCTTTTGCAAACCACAGCACCCAAAAGCAGAGGGCAAAAGGTAATGCCCTGCCACAGGGGCAGGGGGGGATGGGGGGATGGGGGTGGTGGGAGGGATACTGGGATCAGTGGTGGTGGAGAATGGGCACTGGTGGAGGGATGGGGACTCGATCATTGTATAAGTGAAACTCAAGCATGAAAGCTTGTAAGTCTACAACTGTTCCTCATGGTGTTTCACTAATAAAAGTTTAAAAAAAAAAAAAGGAAACACGTGGCTGCCTCGCAGGGACTCAGCAGGGCTCAGGAGGCGGGGGCGTTTGGGGGGCCTGGTCGAGAGTACACAGGAAGCCGAGGGAGTGCTCGGATCAGCACGAGCGGTGAAAAGTGCAGAGGCCCCGGAGTGGAGAAGCCACAAAGGACGAGTCTTGGGGTGACCGGGAGCTCCGGAGTCGGATGCGGAAAGAACCAGCACCAGCACCAGCACCGGCACCGCACGCGGACCCCTGCCGAGTCGGGCCCGGGGAGAGATCGGACCTTGCTGGGACCCCCCCCCGGCGTGGGGTTCTGGTCCCGCGCGGCGGTTTCGGGGCGGGGCCGGCCACCTGCGGCCGCCGCCCCCGCGGGTTCCGGCCCGGCACCGCGCCCCCCGCCCCCCGGCCGCTGGCGGCGGTGAAAGCGCGCCCCGCTCTTGCATCAGACGCGCGGCGGCGGGAGCGGCGGGAGGCGGCGCGGGCATCCCGCGGGCGGGCGGGCGGGCGCGGGAGCCGTCGGGACGCGGCGCTCGGCCAGGCGGGCGCGGCGCACGCGGCGGCAGCGCGGAGGGGAGCGCGTCCCCGCCCGCGCCCCCGGGTCCAGGAGTCGGGCGCCCGCGACCCCCACCCAGCCCAGGAGTCGGGCGCCCGCGACCCCCCCCCCAAGTCCCGAAGTCAGGGGCCCGCGACCCCCACCCAGCCCAGGAGTCAGGGGCCCGCGACCCCCCAGTCCCGGAGTCAGGGGCCCGCGACCCCCCCAGCCCAGTAATCAGGGGCCCGCGACCCCCACCCAGTCCAGGAGTCGGGCGCCCGCGACCCCCCAGTCCAGGAGTCAGGGGCCCGCGACCCCCCCCAAGTCCCGGAGTCAAGGGCCCGCGACCCCCACCCAGCCCAGGAGTCAGGGGCCCGCGACCCCCCCAGCCCAGGAGTCAGGGGCCCGCGACCCCCCAGCCCAGCCCAGGAGTCAGGGGCCCGCGACCCCCACCCAGCCCAGGAGTCAGGGGCCCGCGACCCCCACCCAGCCCAGGAGTCAGGGGCCCGCGACCCCCCCCCAGTCCAGGAGTTAGGGGCCCGCGACCCCCACCCAGTCCAGGAGTCAGGGGCCCGCGACCCCCCCCCCAGCCCAGGAGTCGGGCGCCCGCGACTCTCCCCCAGTCCCGGAGTCAGGGGCCCGCGACCCCCCCGAGTCCCAGGAGTCGGGGGCCTGCACCCCCCCCCAGTCCCGGAGTCAGGGGACCGTGACCCCCCCCCCCACAGCCCAGGAGCCAGGGACCCGCGACCCCCCAGTCCAGGAGTCGGGCGCCCGCGCCCCCCAGCCCAGGAGTCTGGTGCCCGCGAACTCACCCCCCCCCGAGTCCCGGAGTCAGGGGCCCGCGACCCCCCCCCCCCCAGTTTCGAAGTCAGGGGCCCGCGACCCCCTCCCCCCCCAGTCCAGGAGTCTGGCGCCCGCGACCCTCACCCCCAGTCCCGGAGTCAGAGGCCCGCACCCCCCCCCCCCAGCCCAGGAGTCAGGGGCCCGCGACCCCCCACCAGCCCAGGAGTCAGGGGCCCGCGACCCCCCACCAGCCCAGGAGTCAGAGGCCCGCAACACCCCCCAGCCCAGGAGTCAGCGGCCCGCGCCCCCCCAAGCCCAGGAGTCGGGCGCTCGCGCCCCCCAGCCCAGGAGTCTGGTGCGCGCGACCCCCCCACCAGTCCCGGAGTCAGAGGCCCGCGCCCCCCTCTTCCCCCAGTCCAGGAGTCTGGCGCCCGCGACCCTCACCCCCAGTCCCGGAGTCAGAGGCCCGCACCCCCCACCAGCCCAGGAGTCAGGGGCCCGCGACCCCCCACCAGCCCAGGAGTCGGGCGCTCGCGCCCCCCAGCCCAGGAGTCTGGTGCGCGCGACCCCCCACCCCCAGTCCCGGAGTCAGGGGCCCGCGCCCCTCCCCAAGCCCAGGAGTCAGTCGCCCGCGCCCCCCCCCAGCCCCCCAGTCCCAGGAGTCGGGCCCCCGCGCCTCGCCTGCAGCTCGGCGATCAGCTCCTCCCGGCTCAGGTTCTGCTTCTCCACCACCTGCAGCCCCCCGTCCTGCAGGATCTTCCGGCAGCAGGGGTCCAGGCTGTCGCTGATGAGCACCTTGCGGAGACTGGCAAAGGCCATGGCTGGGCACGGCTCGGGCGGGCAGAGGCACCTGGGCGAGCGCGGGCGCGAGGCGGCTGCTGGGGCCGGCGGCGCGGGGATGGGGCGGGACCCGGGGCCCAGGGGTCCACCCCCGCCTTCCCCGGCGCCTCCTGATTGGACAGACGCGCGCCGCGGCCCGCCCCCCGCGCCGCCGAGCCTGCGGGTCCCCGCCGGGCTCCGCAGACTCGGCGCGAGTTTCTCAATCTCAGCCCGGGCCCTTCCCTACACCTGGCGAGCCCGGAGAAGTAAGTGCACTGCACTTTGCGCTGACTAGCCCTGATTCCTATCAGGAACAAACAGATCGTCCTTGTCGTCGTGAAAGAACTGCTCGGTCCTCTGGTCTTTCCGAAGGACGCGTTCACTGCTTATTTAATTCATTCATTTCGTTAGCGAGCACTTGAAAAGGCTCAGGGCTGGATGCCCAGCGGCGCCAGCGCACCAAGCAAACAACAGTCCCTTTCCCTCCTTGAAGAATACAAAGCATACAGTTCCCAGAGTTTGCAAAGCAACCATTAGTTCCAACGGAATGATCGGATGAGATTTATGAACCTAAAAGAAAGCCGGGATGGTTTTATCTAGAGTACCCAGAATTTTGTTTATTCAAGCTCCCTATTTTCTTCGTCCTCCGCTTCCCCTCTGATTTGCAAAAAGAAAAGGAAAATTAGATGTCAGTCTGCCCTAATGTACGTGCTGGCCAAAAAGCACGTCCTGCATCTCAATCTTGTTTAAATCCCAGCCCGGTTTCTTAGAAATCCTAAAAAAAAGAATCCATTATGGGTAATTTAAGGTTACTAACGATTGGAAAGCAAATCAGGACGAATTAGAATTCAGTTACATAGACATGACCAGTCTTGTTAATCCTTGTGTGAAGTTGTGAAACACCATTCACAAAACTGAAATGTCAGATCCTTATCGTACACATCTCTGTAAGATATCAATAGAACAGAGCATGGGAAACTATATTTATTTTAAAATTTTTTTTCCTTTTTAAAAAAATTCAGCCTGAATTACAAAGTTACTCATTATTGACTTTCAGAAATTCAGTGTTTCCACACCAATTCCTTCACCAGTGTCCACATCCCTCTGCCAGTGCGGCCTCCCAGCCTTCAACCCTAGTCCCTTCCAGCCTTTCTCTATAAGAGAAACTTAAAGAAAATAATAACTTCTGACACTGTGATTTGCAGTACTGTTGCCAAGAGGATTTCACGCATAACACCTTAGACTGCTGATTCCTGCACAAATTAGATTTCAGACCAAATGCGCCCGACAGGAAGAAAGATCATCTGTCTGTCCTGTTAATTTATATTTTGCATGATTTCATGTCCCACATTTTGGCATCCTTGAGTATCCCAGTTCTTTTCCCTGAGATATCCAGCAGCAGTCCTGGGGACAAACAGTAGACTTAGTCTAGGAGGTTAATGATGTACTTGGAAAGCATCTGCTTTGGTTAACACTTACCGTCAACCTGTCCCCAAACTCATCCATCCTGTTTCCATTTCGTGCAAAATCTAAACCTTTCTATGCTAGAACATGAGCCTATTCCTTTCTCGAAGTCAAACTTCTAGGGTACTACTGCCTGAACTCACAACCCAGAGGCACTTCTACGTCTAGTCTCTCAAGCAGTATTTTCTTTATTATTTCTTTATTATTTTTGTCATTAAACAAATCACAAATGTTCCTCTTTTCCACTTCTAAGCTTCATCTCCAACTTAGCTCACGGCACTGTCTGTATTATGCATAGGAACACAACAGGCCTCTTCCCTCCCCCAAACTTATAAGGTCCCAACATCTTATCCTTCCAACCATGCCTAGTACAGTGTTGTCCACACTGAAGAGATTTGAAGCAATTTCATCCCAAACCACATTTATTGAGCATCTATTAGGTCCAGTGTACCGTGGCTTAGTATTAGGGACAGATTGATGCATAAGAAAGACACAGGCATAAGATGTCTTTCTTATGATGTCATAAGATGATGCATAAGAAAGACACAGGAGCGATAGCACAGCGGGTAAGGCGTTTGCCTTGCATGCAGCCAGCATGGCCAACACAGGTTCGATTCCCAGCATCTCATATCGTCCCCCGAGCACCGCCAGGAGTGATTCCTGAGTGCATGAGCCAAGAGTAACCCCTGAGCATCGCCGGGTGTTACCCAAAAATCAAAAAAAGAAAAAAGAAAGAAAGACACAGGCTTTTTCCTCAGGAAGAAAGAACAACGTTCGAAGACTCGAACTAGAGAGATGTACTGAGTGCTTTGGCAATGGAAAACAGAACCACTCAGAACAGCTCGGGGCAACAGGAAGGCCACTGCAGAGTCACCTTTGAGCTGCCACATGGAAGCTCATTGTAGGCAACCAGGCTGAAAGGTTCAAGGATGCAGAGATGTGTGAAACATAATCTATCATTAAACTGCTCTCGGTCCATTGCCAAATACTGACAGTCACATAGGAAATAGCATTCTTGGGTTTTCCTTTGTAGCCAGAAATCCACCAATACTGTACTCTCACCTGTTCCCTTATTTTCAGTGAATCGTTACCTGATGTAAGCCTTATCCTAAACACCTGAGGGTTCCTCGGAGTCATAGTGGTCCAGTTCCACGCAGGAGACAGCTAATGTGGCTGATGGAGTGTCAGGAGTAGAATTCTATTTTCCTACTTAAATTCCAGATATGATCTTGAAATTCACCTGGTGAGTAATAAAGGAGGTTTTTTGAGAAACAGATGATAGATTATCATCTAAAGAATGAGTTAATCTAGATTTGGACAACTTATAGTAAAATCACTGTATCACTGTCATCCCGTTATTTATTGATTTGCTGGAGCAGGCACCAGTAACATCTGCATTCGTCCTAGCCCTGAGATTTTAGCAGCCTCTCCTTACTCGTCCTTCCCAATGGTGCCACATTGCAGGCTCTTTCAGGGTCAGGGGAATAAGACTCATCGTTGTTACTGTTTCTGGCATATCAAACATGCCATGGGAGCTTGTCAGGCTCTGCTGTGTGTGCAGGATACTCTCAATATCTTGCCGCATTCTCCGAGAAGGACACTGACACCTAGACTATAAGAGGTATCGTGCACATAATACTGGGAAAATTACCCTCTAAGACATAGTTTTCTCTACTGAAATAGGAGAATACAGATTGTATTTACTTCCTAAGGATGTTATGAATGTTAGCGCTGTAGCACTGTCCTCCCATCGTTCATCGACTTGCTCGAGTGGGCACCAGTAACATCTCCATTGTGAGACTTTTTGTTACTGTTTTTGGCATACCGAATAAGTCACGGGGAGCTTGCCAGGCTCTGCCTTGTGGGCCTGCCCTGAGATACTCTGGGTAGCTTGCCAGACTCTCCAAGAGTGATAGAGGAATTGAACCCCGGTCAGCCAGGTGCAAGGCAAATGCCCTACCTCTGTGCTATCGCTCCAGCCCTTAGGAAGGTAATGCATACAAACGAACGTAATCTGGATCTGGAGAAATAGTAAAGTCAGTAAGTAATTTGTCTTGCACACTGCTGACCTGGGTTCCATCCCCAGCACCCCATCTGGTCCCCCTGAGCACTGCTAGGATTAATTCCTGAGTCCAGAGCCAGGCGTAACTCCTGAGCTTTGCCCATGGGGCCTCACCCCAAAACAAACAAATGAGTGCATCTGTAGTGTTTCACTTTCATTCATTCACAATACTCACATTTATTCAGCAAATCAATCATCGTGTACTTATGAGAGTCTGCGATGTGCCAGGTACTGCTGAAAGTATGGGAATAAAGCTCTAAACAAGATGGACTGTCTCTGTTCTCATGGAGACTTCACTGTTTTAGGACAGAAAATAACAAACAAGTGAGATCATCTCAGGGTATGATTTAGTACAGTGAAGAATATAAAACTGAGAGGCATCCTAGAGATCATCTATTTGAACTAGGGATTGACTAGGGATCATCCATTTGGACTATCTGATCAAGAAAATCATTTCCGGGGCAGGAGTAATAGTACAGCGGGTAGGGCGTTTGCCTTGCACGCGGCTGACCCTGGTTCGATTCCCAGCATCCCATATGGTCCCCCGAGCACTGCCAGGAGTGATTCCTGAGTGCAGAGCCAGGAGTCAGCCCTGAGCATGAGCATTGCTGGTTGTGATCCAAAAAAGCAATATATTATATATATTTTATATATATATAATATATAAATATTATTATATATAATTTTTTCCCCAAAAAATATACTTGGCATGAGATTGAAGTAAGAAGGAGAAGTTAGATAGAGAACTAAGGGCAGAGGGAAAAGCAGAATGACTCTGGAATATTCAAGGAACCTACCCACAAACATCTCTATAGCACAAAATGCATGCTAGGCCAAGGCTGACCACTTAATGATGCTGTTGAACACACCCCACGAGGTCCTGCTCTCTTTGGAGCACAGGAGGCGGTGAGCTGCTGACTGCTCGGGAATGAAATGACGGCCAGGGAAGTCTGCAAAGAGAGCACTGGTGGGCCTGGAGCGATAGCACAGCGGGTAGGGCGTTTGCCTTGCACACGGCCGATCCAGGTTCGATTCCCAGCATCCCATGTGGTCCCCCGAGCACCGCCAGGAGTAATTCCTGAGTGCATAGCCCAGAGTAACCCCTGTGCATTGCCTGGTGTGGCCCAAAAAGAAAAAAAAAAAGATAGTACTGGAGCTGGGCGGTGGTGAGGGAGTGGGAGAGGGCGGGAACACAGGGATGTGAGGGAAGACCCGTGTGGCAGAACATCTGCAGAAGAAAACAGTGGTAGGAACAAAGTTTTCTGGGTAGGAAAGACTGTGGCTTTTTCTTGCATTAGCCGGATCAGAGCACTGGCTTAACAGAGGGCAAAGGGGAACAGGTACTGGGCAAGGTGGAGGCCAGACCACTCAGGTCCTGTGGATCAACTGAACTTTTGTGGATGCACATGATGAAACACAACCTAAACAGGCTCAGAGAAGGAAAGATTCGAAGGCCTGGAAGATAAATGGGGCA